TATCAGATACTAAAGTCACAGCTCACCTTGTTGATTTCGCAGCTTCCGCCGTATGCAGTCGCCAAACTCAATGGGGACCAGATGGACGAACTGAACATCAGTCGAACTATCCTGTTCGACACCAAAGAGTACAAGGGCGTCTTGGAGGAGGATCAGCTATCGAAACTTGCAAAGACACCAGGAATGGCTGCTGCAACGCCGGCTACGCTGGCGCGAACGAGTTCTGGAACCAACGCGCACTATCCCGCAGCTGGGCACCAGTACAGCCGTCCAGCGCCGTCAGTGCCTCAGTCCGGCGCTCGTCCAGTGTACTCGCAACCACAGTCCCTCCACCGATCATCGTCGATGCACCTCCAACGCTCGCCTTCGGGTGCTGCGCAGACATTCCAACCAGGTGGCGCGTCTTATGCTCCCAACTCTCGGCCGGGGTACTCTGCAACCCCGTCCTACAACCAACAAACGCCGCGACCAAGCTATGGAACCACTCCTTCTGGTCAATACTTCCCGCAACGCTCGGCACAGCCAAGCAGCTACACGGGTGCTCCTGGCTCACAGTACTACAATTCTACACCCGCACAGGGCCAGAACCGTTATGCATCACAGCAGAACCAAAGCAGCTTCTACCCTCGCTCACAAAATGCGGCACCCATGTACAACGGCGCACAAGCACCGCCGCCACGGAATGTGTCACCCATCAAGGGCGCGCCCACACCATCGGCTTATGGTACACGGCCAACATATGGCACGCCCGTGTCTGGAGGGCAGATGCGCAGCACATACTACGGCCCTTCCCAATACGCAACTCCTCAGGCGCCTGGTGCCGCTGCTCCCTACAATGGCGCAGGCAGCAATCCTCAGCAGATGATGCTTGAAAGACAGCAAGCGCAGCAAGCACAAGCCCGGCTTGCGGCACAAAATAGTTTCAGTAGTAGTAGGCAGGGATCAGGGACGCCGCAGCCTCCCAACGGCTCCATGTATGGCGCTAATGGGGCCTCCATGTCGACCTAGGGTGTTTTGATGAGCGGACATGGATTTGCATGGTGTTCTGGATACCATAGATCAGCTTCTGGCGTTTCGGGCAGTAGCAACGAGCGGGAGGATTATCATTTCTGGACATGTTCTTGTTTAGCAGAAGCACTGTTGTCTTTGTAGACGACACATGTCACGTAGTTAATAGGGCCAGCGTGTCATAGTTGAGCGGGCTCTCTTTTCGAGCAAGTAACAGATTCATTAAAAAGGAGACCTGTCGAGCATTATCCATGACTGCTAGCTGTGGCTGTGACGTGGCGTGGACCCTGCATTGCGCTTAGAGTTGCCGAAATGACGTCGCGCAACGCGTTCCTTCCGGCGAGGCAGCTGGGCAGACGGTCGCTGATGGCAGTCCTCATCGCTGTCTCTGCGGACAAAACCATGAGACCCACACACCACCATGGCTCACCTCTTGCGTGGAAAGCAGGCCGGTGTCAGCAACGACCTCTCCCTGGGCCTGGGCCCTGATTCATTCGTGCTCGACCATGTACGCGCCCGCTGTCTTCTCGCCCCGCCGTTCCCCCAGCCCTCTACGCGCAAGCTAACAGCACGTAAAGATCCGCAACTACGGCATCAACTCCAAAGTCACCCAGGTCGCATACGACCCCGTCCAATCCCTCCTCGCCGTCGGCACGAGCGACAGCAAGTATGGCCCCGGCCAGATCTACATATTCGGACAGAAGAGGGTCGAAGTGGTGCTGTCGCTGCCCACGCGCAACGCCTCGATCAAGATCCTGCAGTTTTGCGCCGAGAAGCTGCTGTGCGTAGACTCAAAGAACGACCTGTCCGTCTTTTCGCTCGAGACGAAGAAGCTGCTCAACGCCCATTCCCCTCCCGCCCGCATTACGGCGCTGCACTGCGACCCTACCATCGATTACGCGCTGCTCGGTACACAGCACGGTGAGGTGTACGCCTATGATCTGGCTAGGGAGGCACTTACGCCCTTCAAAATACCCAACTTGTGGAGGGAAAAGTTCCCACGCTCACGCCTAACCTCCGTTGTTACGCTCTCGCTCCAGCCTAGAGATATCGGCTCCCTCCTGATTGGGTACAACTCCGGCGCAGTCATCTATTCGTTCAAGCAAAACAAAGCCCTGCATTTCTTCAACTATGTGGTCCCCAAAGGAGCCCCTGGAGGCGACTCGGATCCAGTCTCCGTCTCCAAGGACCGCGAACCTCCGCTTACCCAGGCTGTCTGGCACCCAACCGGCACTTTTGTTCTGACTGGACACGAAGACAGCAGTATCGTTATATGGGATTCCAAGGATGGCCGCATCGTACAAGCGAGAACCTTGACCGATACAAACGTAGACAAGCCCGGTCCAGGCAGCTTCAGCCCAGGTGCCGTTGAAGGATCGTTTGCACTCAAGTCCCCCATCTTCAAGATTGCGTGGTGTGCGAACCAGGACCCTGACGATACCGCTATCCTCATCGCTGGTGGACAGCCATCCAACATCTCCGCCAAAAGTCTGACGCTTTTCGAGCTGGGTAGAACACCGGTTTACGCGACCGCATCCTGGCAAGTACTATCCGATCACTTCGAGAATCCCAAGAGGCAAAGGATACTTCCATGCCCGCCTGGGACTGAGGTGGTGGACCTGTTCCTCATTCCAAGGACGTCCCCTCATTACGCTGGCTGCCACGACCCCATTGCCATTCTCGCCTTACTTGCATCTGGGGAGTTGATCACTCTCTCTTTTCCAAGCGGAATGCCCATCACGCCAACTAATCAACTGCACCTCTCCATGACGCTTGTTCATCCGTATATCAATTATGCAAATCTCGCGCCTGTAGAGCGTACACGGTGGCTTGGCATGACCGAGAAGCGCCAACACGGTCCGCAATTCCTCATCGGTGGTGCCGAGGCTGTTCATCCGCTCAAGCGGTTTGAGAATCGAAACATCGTCCAGACAGCTCATGCAGATGGCACGATCAGACTATGGGATGCAGGTCACGCCGATGAGATTGAGAACCCTGCATTGCTACAGGTAGACGTAGCTCGAGCAGTCGGCCGCCCAGAGCACATACACGTGACACAAACCTCGTTTGCAGGAGCAGCATCCGAACTATCCGTAGGGCTGAAGACTGGTGAAGTAGTGGTATTCAGATGGGGTGTAAACAGGCATGCTGGACAGGAGTACCCACCGGGTGACAATAAACCGCAAGCGCTTACCAATATCTCGGAAAGAAGTGAAGCGGCTCTCAAAGAGGGACTGCTGCCTTTTACTTTGCTTGACGAGGGCAATGGACCAGTCACCGCCTTGAAACATTCTGATGTTGGCTTTGTTGCTGCGGGCTTTGAGGGTGGCAGTCTGGCCATCATTGATTTGCGAGGGCCCGCTGTTATCTACAGAGCGTCGATACAGGAATTTGTCAAGCCGGACAAACGCGCCAGCTTCCGACGGAGTTCAACGCAGGCAGCACCCAAAGCGGAGTGGCCCACTTGCCTCGAGTTCAGTGTTATGACACTCGAAGATGACGACTATTCCAGCATTCTACTTCACGTCGGTACCAATCTTGGCCACCTGGCAACCTTCAAGCTACTGCCAGAACCAAGTGGCCAATACTCAGTAAAACCTGCGGGTGTGTGCTCGCTTGACGACAAGGTTATCAGCATCAGCCCCATGCACGCAGAAACTGGTCGCCCAGCATATGCTTCGCAGTCTGCCGTTGCTGGACTTCGGAATGGCTCGAAGATTAGCGGCGTCCTTTTAGCCACAACAGCCTCAGGCGCGAGGTTATTCCGTCCCGCCACAAGTAAAGGAGCGCACAAAACCTTTGATCAGTTCTTGTGCGATGCTGCGACTGTAGTGAGGTACGAAGACAAGGGCTACGCAATGCTTGGGTTGTATGGAGATGGATATGCGAGAGCGCATTCGCTACCTGCATTGAAGGAGATCGGGTCTGTCAACCTCAGTGATTTCTTAGACATCAGGCGCTTCTCTGAGGCAGTCATTACAAGTACTGGCGACATCTTTGGCTGGAAAGGGCCTGCGGAAATGGCTCTTGTCAACGTCTTTGGAACGGGACTGCAATAGTAGGTCGACTCATCTCCCCAGCCATGACACATGTACTGACCAAATCTAGTGAACGCGCGAAGGACGTCTTGCTTAACCCAGAACTTTTGATTCCGCCCCGACCCACTATCAGCAATATTCAATGGATCTCTGGCACCCAATATGTAACACCAGCCGACATGGATCTTCTCAGTAAGCTATTCTTACTTCTATTCCCAACAAATTACTGACTTCTCTTAGTTGGTGGTCCTGATAGGCCCTTATCAAATCGTCAAATGGCGCAGCAGCGAGCAGAGGCAGAGCAGGAACGACGCCGCGCCAATCCGACCGCAGCCAGCTCTTCTGCCGCTGGATATCAGTCCTATCCTACCCAAGTATCCCCGACTCAAGAAGGATGGGGTGCTTGGGCGAGTCGTCAGCTCAACGAGCGCACGGAGAAGCTCAACATTGTTGGGGATAGTATGGACAATCTTTCACAAAACAGTGCAGGTTGGGCAAATGACGTCAACAAGTTTGTCGGAAAGCAGAAGAGAGGACTAGTCATGGGTGCTATGAAGAGCAAATTCGGATTTTGAGTCGGAAACACCCCATGGAAACATGATACAGGATGGTACACGGCTATATAGCTACAACGAAGATTTTAAATGCGAGCTGGGCGTTCTATCGAGCGATTCCGGATTCCAAGACTCTTAATTTTACCTGCAGGGATAAGTCGCGGCCTACTTCCAGTACTTGTAATGCAAGATTTGAATGTGATACCATCAATCTTGACTGATCACGCCCGTAGCACCCAAAACCGGTACCTAGGTATCATCTCGCCAGTTCCTGCCCTTCGTCAGCGACCCCGGCTAGCGCAAGGCAACTTCCTCAACCGTGCGCTGCCCTGCTGCACATTGACACACCACCACTTCCTATAATCACATCGAAACGAGAAAGCAAACCTTTTTCACAACAATGAGTTTTTTCAGTGGCATCCGGCAATGGCTCCCAAGCATACATTGGCTGCTAGGCCCACCCGAACCAACTCGCCCTTTCACACCAACCTACGCCGACGTGTGTCGCGCCCGCGCCGTGCTCAAGACCCTCAAATTACCCACCGAGCTGGTCCTCAGCATACTAGAGCACGCGCAATACTGGCCCGTCGAACGGATTTCCCGGTCAGGCGGAACCGTCCTCGCCCGCGCTGGAATGAATAACCCGTCGGCAGCAACTCTCTGTTTCGAAGCCAACCCCTACTCCACGCCCATTGTGAAAGAAGCCAGCCTAGGCGGCGAAACAGCAAAGATCAAGCGCATTGATTTTGACATCACGAGTAGAGACCAAGGCTGGACGAGCGAGAACACGCAGGGTACTTTTTCCACCTCTTCATGGCTTGAGGTGTCCATCTTGCGCGATGCATCGAATATCAATAGTCTGCTTCCTACTCCGCGGTTGGTGAATACTTGGATTAGCAGTCCGATGGATTATCATACTAATATGGTGGGGCGCGGTTGGTCGCTTGTCAAGAGGCCCGAGAGTGCGCTGCAAGGCCCGCAGGGTGGTGAGGGGCATTTTGCTTGGTACCTACAGGGTAATCGTGTAATGGCTGGTACTCAGGACTATCATGTTTCCTGGGACGAAGGTGGTTTGTGTGAGGTTGATGAGGGCAACGAGGGTGCGGGGAGTGGAGAAGGCTTCTTGGATGCGTTGGAGCCTGGTGATCGTGTGTTGGTTTGGGCGAGGGCCAAGGTATGTTTGAGATGCGAGATTCGGAGGCTTCGTTGCCAGGCTAACATATTTGACAGTATCCAGGGTGGCAATGCATTGTTGACGGTGTCAGCGTTACTGTTCACTACGGCTTCTAAGGTTCAAACTGTTAGGAACCTCCTCTACCTAATCTGGGTTTACGTCATTCTACTTTTACGAGGAGTCAGCCAATGGTCATTTTGTTCACGTTACAGCTGTTTCATGCTTAGGTTGTAGGCCCCACTCTATTGCAGGATAATGATCGCATTCATGTGAGTCTCTGGCTCCATTCACGCCGGCTCGCGGCCCGCGCAGAATTACTCCCGAAGACATGATCTGCGATGAGATATCTCTACGCAAACCAGCCGACTCATGTGCGTCTAAGCAATTGACTTTTTCCATACCAGAAAAGGCGCTCATCGCTGCGCAGCACAAACTCAATATCCGTAATGCCCAGGCCCTAGCTTCCGACTCGTCGTCAGAGCGATATGTCGAAAAAGAAACGCTCCTTCATCGCACACGCTCCAGCTCCGGCGGCCATGCTATCCATAGGCTGATGAGCCTTCTTATTTGGCATCATCTTCATCCTTCTTGGCCTCTTCCTTCTTCTCTTTGCCCTTCTTGGCATCGCTGTCCATGACGGTCTTCATCTGCCTGAGGTACCTCCCGAACTCCCCGAAGCTAGTCAGATCCATGCCCTTGGTAGTGTTGGTGAGTTTCTCAGCGGCAGACTTGAGACGGCTGTTGCGCTCGTTGAGGTTGAGGTAATTCTTCCTGAGGTTCTCCGCTTTCTGCTGGTCGGTGAGTTCTCCGGGCGTGTTGACTGAGGACGGGGCTGGAGAAGGGAGATAGACGGCTTGAGAGGCTTGGGAGGACTCCGGGGTGAAGATCGAGGGGTATGCCGGCGCCTGGGGTACCTGCGAAGACGTGAACGTGAACTTGCGCGCGGCGGAGGCTCGGAGGCTCTCGTTCTCTGCTTGAAGGCGTTCGTTTTCTTCGACCAGGTAGTTGTTAGCGGAACCTAAGTTTGACTGGGTGTTCATGACGTCTTCGAGTATGCGCTCATGCTCGGCCTTCTCATCTTTTCTCAGTTGTTTCTCGCTCTGAAGCTCTCCGATTAGCTGGTCCTTCCTTGCGGTGACGTTGTCGATTTTGACGCCCAGCCTGTCCATGACCAGGTTCGCCTTTCGCAGGTTCTCTCGTTCGGTCTCGAGATCGCGGTGAAGGGCTTGGAGTTGTTGATCAGTCGCACTGTTGGAGTGGAATTGGGCCAAACCACGATCGCTCTGTGCCTTCTCGTGGAGTATCTTCTGTCTGGCGAGTTCGGCCTTGACGGCGTCGACTTCAGGACGCGACTGTTCTTGCTCGTTAGCATGCTTTTCCTCCGATTCCGCCATGTCGTCTTGAGGATCGTGCCGTAGACGTGGAGGTGCACTGTAGAGGTTGGCTGGGCTTGTAGGAGGAGAGATGCCGCCGAAGTCCCATCTAGGAAGCTGGTCGAAAATGGAAAGTCTTGGCCTTGATTCGAGGTGAATGGCTTCTGGAGTCACCACGGAATCAGAGATACTGGGCTTGGCGTCCTCGTCAATGTCGACTTTCGATCCATGCAATTCCGCGGTCACTTCCTCTTTATGGGTAATTTTTCGTTGTCGCACATGCTGGTATCCGTCGTCTTCACTGTCAGATAGAGTGATGAGGTCGACTTCCTTGTTAGCCGTTGTCGACCACATAGTTGACATGTTGTTGCCCATGCTGCCCTTGTCGTCCAGCTTTCTCTTGCTGTTTGCCTCGGTCTTCTGACGTTTCGCTGCTCGCGGAGTCACACGCGCGGGTGTATTGCGCTTCTTTGACTTCTCTAGGGTAGCCTTCCCAGTGTTCTTAGTTTGTGTTTGCTTAGTCGGCTGTGCTCGTTTTCCACTCACTGTAGGTTTCTTCGGTACCATGGTGGGCTTCAAGTGGCCAGGATGTGCTTCTTTGAGATGATGCACATGAGTCCTGGAGGGTATCGGTGAGTTGTAATGAGAACGAGCTTCACTCTGTCGCGCAGTTGATCTGGTCTTTTCTGTGTCGACTGTCTGTGCTGTCCGAGGTATCGTGGAGTTAGGCGGTTTATGCTGGTATACCTTTTGGCGATCGAATAGTAAACTAGCAAACAGACCAGATACAGGCAGGGCTTGTGAGGGTGTTGGCGTCGTTGCTTTTGATGTTGGAGCCCCAACGGAAGGATTAGGTGAAGCTGCGGACTTGCGACTACTTCGGCTTTGGCTTATAGATAAGCGCTCGCGAGCGGTCTGGGAATCGCAAGTAAGATTAGTGTTGGATTCCATATTTCAATATTGAGAAAATGTTTATCCGTATCGTATCTCATGTATCGTACGCAACAACGGTATAGGTGAGAGAGCAGCTTGAGCAGTAGAGAACGTACGTGGAGTAGTTGAAGTGTTGCTAATGCAAACTTCGATGGATGCTGCCTTGCACTATGCCTCAACAAATAGGTGGCAGAGCGGTGAGAGAGTTGTCGGAGGTGGATATGCTGTTTGCCGGCGTCTGTCACATGTCCCAGCGATGCTTCGCGACGTCAGAGGAGATTGGAGGAACTTGAACTGGAGAGGGACGAAAGCTGTCTTTTAAAGACCCGAGAGGGTTGACAGTTTCCTTACAAGGTATCGGGTAGCGGGTAAAGGTGACCTTCCGGCAAGCCGCGTTGAATAAGGTGTTCGATCAATTTAACTCACCTAAGCCCAGATTGATCTGCTCCCACACATGACATTGAATGGCTGCTTTACATGGGCATCCCTTTGCCATTGAGGTGCTGTCCATAAAATGTTAGTCGTGATTGACACACTCAAATACGTGGAGAAACACCATGTACTACGGGTTGTAAGGAAACACCTTCAATTACAAACATGCTATACGCCCACTCCTCTAATATATGGTATGCAACGACTACTCCGTGAAGTGTACCCATAATGCCTACATGCGCCGACCAAGCAACCTCGTCACTCGTTATATCGTAAGAAAAGATAAGCGGAAAGTCGAACGCAAATCGCTAAAGCATCTATCAAGAAGGGAAGAAAAGGTTGGTACAAGAAGGGAAAAGTCGCCGCATAGGAAATGCACTAATACATCTCCTCTTCTCTCTCTTTGCCACTGCCATTAGTGTGTCTCACGCTGCCAACCACACTGGCACGTCCACTTCCACCGATGCGGCTGCCACTCGCAGACGCAGTCCTTTGGACATCATCTGGGCCATCTTCGTCTCGACGGTCCCTCTCCTTCTCAAGCGCAGCCCTGAGGTCCGCATTCTCTTCTACCTTCTGCTCTAATCTCTTACGGGCACCACTTCGGTCAAGGAGTCGGGCTTCACGCTCGGCTTTCAAACGCCGTTCGAGTTCCTTAAGTCGATGTATCCACTTCTGTTCACTTGGCTGAAGCGGTCCAGCGGCGGGATAGGGATGGCCTGGCGTCGGCGTCGACGAATTCGAAGTCGAAAAATGCTCCACGACAGAAGCGGAGTGAGCACGCAATAGTGTTTGCGCCATACTGGCACGTTTGGAGGAGGTCGGCGAGGCAGCACGTGATGGTGAGCGGCTGACAATAACATCGTTACCGGATTGCGTCGTGGCGGTAATGGCGCGGAGGGTCTGGACCTCGGATCGTAAGGTCTTGTTCTCAGTACGCAGTTTATTGACTTCCGCGGTGTTGAGGTCGACGATACCGCCACGGACAGTGCTAGGTCTTCCGATCGATTGCCGTTGGGCCATTACAAGCTTCTCGAGCTGGTCAAGTCGCTTGGCGCGAGAGTCTAGGCTATGCTCGAGAGTTTGGTAGTCGCGGATCAGATTGTTTTCTATGTTGCGAATTCTTTGCTTGAAGGCACCAATGACACCCTCCACGGTCCTCACCGCAAGAATGATGTTCTTGTGGAAGCCCGGGACGTTCCTAGAAATGAGCTCCATGGAAGTCAGTTCTCCGTTGATGAGAGCGTTATTGCGGGACCATTCTGCGCCGCAAAGAGTGGACAGTCGATTCCACAGAGCGTAGAGCAGGTTGTTTCGTTCTAGCAGTTGCTCCTTGTACTGTTTCTCCAGGCTGTGGAGTCTCTGCCGATCCTGACTACGAAGGGTTTCAAGTTCCAGAACCCTCGATTCGTGTTGCTGGATCGCCCTGGTAGTGGATTGATGACCACGCTTGGCGTTCTCGAATGCTGTTTGGTCTTGTCGACGGCCTTGACGTTCGCGCTCGAGCAGCTCTGAAAGACGGCGGCTCTCCATGCCAGTGCTCTCCAAGAGAGCATCGCGGTTGCGCAGCAAACGGTCTTTCTCCGCAAGATCGGTTTTGACGACATCGAGCTCTTGCATAGTCGCTTGGAGATCTCGTTGAAGCTTTGCGATATCCTGAGCGATCAGTTAGTATGTTTCTAGATGATCAGGAGTAACACCACTTACCTTGAAGAGGCTCGACCTCGTGCCGTTGAGGTTGCCCAGTGACTCACGAAGCATTTGCTCCAACTCGTCATGCCGTTGCTTCCAAGTGGACGCCTCAACTTCCTTGCTTGAGAGATTCTTTCGTAGCTTCCTGCTCTCTTCCTTGAGCTTTGACAACTGACCATTGAGTTCGGTGATGATCTTCTCCACCTCTTGTTTCTCCTGGGTTTCCAAGGCATCGCGTTGCTGCCTCTCCTCGGCCATGCGCTCCTCAAGATCCCGAGATCGCTCTCTAGCCTCTTGCAATGTGACTTGAGTATGGTTCAGCGCCGATTCCAGCTCGCCAATCTTGATCTTGTCGCCCTCTTGCTCTTCTCTCAGGAAATCGATCTCACCCTGACAAGACTCAAGCTGGACATCAAGTCGTTCATTCTTTGACCTCTCCTCACTAAGGAGCTTGTCTTGCCTGTTCAGTTCTTCGTTGGCGTCGCCAAGCTCTGATTCAAGGTTCTGGATCTTGCGAAGGCTTGCATCCCGATCGTCTTCGAGCTGCAGAAGACTCTCACTGACATTCTTCATTTCTTGTTGTAGAGCATGGAAGTCTTCAGTGGTGTTTTCCAGATCGTTGTAAAGACGGTCACGTTCCGCTTGCTTTTGCTCGAGGTCAATCTCCAACCTTTGCACCGTATCCA